TATAATGGAACTAGATGGCACTTGTCTTGTGGTGATCATAGGGGCTAGAAAATACTTTTGAAAAGGCCTCTTTACAGAAATCATGACCTGGTTAATCAAGATGATCCATATACCTTGTTGTGAGTATTTTATTGTAAGAACTATTTTCTTTTTACCATATCTATGCAACTCTTCATGGACTAGTGGCTCTCCTGAACCTCGTGAGGTACTGAAGTGGGCCGGTCGGACGATGTGGGCCGGTCGGATAAGTCAGTAACACCCCGCCGTCGACAATTTACTAGCGGTATTTACTTGCGGTGCCGAGGTGGGCCGGTCGGAGAAGTCACTAGCACCCCCCCCCCCACACCTTGACAATTTACTAGCGGTATTTACTTGCGGTGCCGAGGTGGGCCGGCGGTACCAAAGTGGGCCGGTCGAGAGTCCCGGGCTGATTTGTAGTCCCAGTCCGCCCCTGATCCCAAGCCTCTCATGCATTAGTAGATGCATGCTTCCTCCTGATGGTGTAGAAATAACACAGTTCCTTAATGAAACCTCTGAGATCAATGTCTTTGGTTTATTTTGAGTATATATCTGGAGAGAGAAAATGCTGTGGAGTTGTTCAGGCACTGGCACTTTGGGCACCAAGCCCAGAGGGATCTGGTTCCATTTATTACATCTCCATGGCCCATATTTTCAGCACTCTGCAACTCATACCAACACAATGTAAATTAATAGATAGCGCTACAGGTAAGACTAAAAATGAACTCTGCTATTAAGATACCAGCAGGCATTTTGATTGACAGGCATGGTAGAGCAAACAAAGCCGCACAGTCAGACTGAAGACATGTGGAGGATTGATACCTGCAGGCTGGAAAACAATGGATGGAGCCCCACGGGGTAAAACGACTTTGTTATGGAGCAGAAATATAACAGTGCCTAAACCTCTACTGTGAATGTGTTGTGTTGTTATCATGCAAATAAATGTTGTCTCAACTTCCTCTGTTTGCTTGCGTGATGGTGAACACTTATTTGAATTGAGAATTCCTTTGATAACAAAAATGTGTATCACTTGTCAAAGTAAATGCTAAAAATTCCATTCTCCAAACAAGGTGGAAGCAACAAAGACAGGTTCACTGTCAACAGACTGGACCGGTGTAGGTGGATACAAACACGATGTTAGTGTCCTTGATGTTTATTCTACGTAGAGTCTAATTAACCTGGAAACACAATCTTTGTGGTGTTCAATAGAAGCCATGAGAGATGAAACTGCTGGCTACATGAACGAAATGAGACAAAAGGATGGTAAATTGTTCTTTATTCAGACTTCATTCATTCAGGAAGTTTTGTTAAGCTTGCTTCCTGTTTACTAGCACTGCTATGCTAGACCATGGATGCTTATAACTCATCTCCCTGCTTCTCGTGGTTTCCTTGGGTCCCTTCATGCTTCCCTAGTGGGAGGGACTAGATGCAGGGAAACGACGCAAGTGAGGGAAGCAAGGATTTAATTTAACCGACCTGAGACGGGGCCATTGATTTCCTTGCTTAAGGACCTTGGTGAAACAGTTGTTGATGGACAGGACATGGTTACACCTTCACAGATGCTCCAGTCAGGAGAATAACATAAAAAGAAACCTGCTTGAATGACAGCAGGCATCTGTCATAGCCTTGACTACATGTCTAGCTACTTCAATCACTTTAGTATGTTTCAACAAAGACCACTGGAGTGTGATAAACTGTATGTTTACCAGGCAATGTCTGGATAAATAATGTATATGTAAGAAAAAGCACCCTATAGGAAAACACATTTGGATGACTTGCAAGACTTGATTCTTAAAATATGATGCACTAAAACAACCCATGGCGGTGAGGATATAGGAGAGATGAGAGGCAAGAGGGAAAGGAAAGAGTGAGGGACAGCAATTCAGACAGACGATTACTTGCTGCCACCACACACTTAATACTCCTTTTTTCTTCCCTCCCCGCATTATTTTCTCAATTAATGTTAGGTAAGGGGCGGGCTTTGTATACATAGGAAATGAACATACACTTCAGAATATGTACAGAGATTCCTTTCAAATGCGGTAAGTCATTTTTTAAATGTCTCCCTTTTGCACAGATCCTTCAAAGAAACACTTTAATGTCAAAAAGAAAGCTATTAAACCTCAAGTTGGCACTTCCACAGTAGCCTGGCACATGTCCCGATGCAACAATACAGTATGAATACTTTTGCTGAAGTAGCCTACTTTGCCATTCAGAAGCATTCTGCAGTGGGGTGCAGTTAAAGCGGAATTGCTGTGAACAAGGCAATACATAAAGAAAACTGTGAGCGCAGAGTTAGCAATAACTGTTCACATTGTGGTGTAGCAAAACTGAAAAGCACAGTGATGTAGTGATATCACATTTAGAACAAAATAAAAAAGGGCTGAAAAGACAGATGTTGGTCAAAAAACATTTATATCACGAAAGATGATCTAAAATATAGTGTTGATATGTTATGATAAATTATTCTCTGATGTCTAACCCTCACAGCATTACGTGGCTCTGCTGTGGCATCATCTCCAGCAGCGACTGAGAAACCCCGGAGCAAACAGACTTACAAATAATATTGTCCCACGTTGCACACCACGTCAAATGTTTAAGCTGCAGCACATGTTGAAGACATTAAAGTGCACCCAAAGCAAACCTCAGCTTATCTTCTTTGAAAATGTCATGCAAACATCTCTATCACTGAAAAACATATGGAATACATTTTATCTAGAATCTGAGCCCTAGAAGTTGTTTAGACTTAAGCAATGCAGCTTGGAGCAAGAGCAGGTAACAGGTTGCATGATGTGACACATGCACAGTTGAGTTGATAGTGTCAGATAAAGGTTGCAATTACTTATATTATAAATACCATATTTATTCATTTTTTATTTTGTTTATTTATTCTTATATTTATTTCCACATTTATTTATTCCTGTATTTTTTTCACATTTATTTATTTTTGTATCCCTGTATTTTCTTTTTTCTTTTTTATCTATATCATATTCTGTCCTCCTACCTGTGTGCTCATCACATCACAGCCAGACCTATAGTTGGGTGTTCATTTTTTGAAAAATCCAGATGTCTAGGCATTGGTTTTTCATGCAGGTGCCAAAGGTTCAACCTCACCCAGGGGAAGAACATCTTTCGTCTTCTGCTACTGCATGTTGATGTGAAATCTGGAGAAATTGTCCCCACCACTTTTTCCAACAAAGTGAAGCCCATGATACATTATATACAGTACAGTTCTCACGGCAAGCGATCTGCCTGCGTGGGCTACTTAGGAGACTATTTGTATCCTTTGAGGTGTTGGATTACAGGATTTGCATTTTAAAGGGTGGCAGCTGGAGGAAATGGGTGAATGCAATTGTAAGCAATGCAATAAATGATCTGTGATGTGAAGCAACCTAAATGACACGCCTGCTCCTGCCCACCAGATCCTCCAATACCCATAGCATGAGTCAGGCTATAAATCGTGTAACCGGCAATATATATGTATGTATATATGTATATATATATATATCACATACTGGGGTACATGCAGCACTGATGTTACAGTATGTAAAGATTACAGCCCTAAAACTGTGAGCTGCAACAAGCTTTTCTCTTTTTTCTTCTATTAAATTGTTGTTTCCAGAGCTGGCAACAAAAACAAAGTGTTGCAGTAAACAAAGGACCATTTGAACCCATTGTGCTTGTTTTTTTTCTTTTAAAGCTTTTAGGTTTAATGCATTTGTTAAACAGATTAATGTCCCTGCTGGCTTTTGGGTGAAATTATTCCTATAAAGTGCATGGAAATTGCACGGGTCAAATTTCTCTCTGTGTGCACAAAGTGCAGCGATGGCAGGATTTCAGGACAAAAATAATAGATTTTGTTTTGATCTCTGGAGCATGGAGTTGTGTCTCCCAAGAGCCTGCCAGGGTTAAACTGTGATCTGTACACTGTGACTTGCTCAAGGCTGTGTGTGTGTGTGTGTGTGTGTGTGTGTGTGTGTGTGTGTGTGTGTGTGTGTGTGTGTGTGTGTGTGTGTGTGTGTGTGTGTGTGTGTGTGTGTGTGTGTGTGTGGTGTTATTAAAAAGAAATATTGCTTCATAAAAACCCACCGCACTGCAGCCATGACTCGTGTTAATGCAGACTGTTGCTGGAGTATGTCTCTGGGAGGGAAAATTTGATTCTTTTTCATCTGTCCTTTGATTGCAAAGGCAGTTAGTGTTTAGCAGGTGAACCTATGATGCTCTGCGTCAGAGAGATTGAAAGATACCTTGGAGAGAACTGTTCACTTGAATTGTTGCTTTGAACAATTCACCTCAGCTACTCATGGATGGTGTAATGAATTTAGCAAGAACAGTGCCCGGAGTTATTATAGGTGCCAGCATGCCTCTCTACTGTTCATTTGCAATGCAATTTGCAATTAAAACAGTCTGCAGTGGCCATCTGGACATGAGAACACTGATAATGATAGGACTTTACCCTTGAGGTGAAACACAAAATTTAGACCTGCACTCTTTGAGGTAAACAGTTGTATTACTTAGGTATTTCTGTAAAACAATAATATTGTAGAGTTAACTCTGGAGAGAAAGTGGGAATATATTTATAACACTTTTTCTTAACCTCTATGAAATCCCAAAGTGATCTATACCCGAAATGACTCTCAACAAATTGGAGTAGGCCTAAGGGGCCAAAATGGTTCCAAGAAACTTGGACAATGACATGGTGACATGGTGTTTAGTCAAAACACCATGTCATGTATAGGCTAATTTATTTTTTATTTTTCTATATCGGCCCAGATACATCAAGTCCACATCCGGGGATTCCTGAAGACTCTTCTCAGAGGGTGCTCGGAGCTGTGGTTTTTGTAAAACTCTCCAAACTGTCATGCAGCGGTGACTGGTATTCTCAGTAGTCAACAGTCAGCGGGGCTTCACAAGCCCGGTAGGTGGCAGTGAATGTTCTCAGGTGGGGAGGGCAGGTTGTGGGGGGGCGTGTGTTCCTCTTGCACAAGCGCTCCCATGTTGCGTAGTCTGGAAACCTGACGTGGAGAGCAGCCGAGTGGAGCGTACAGTGACTGAGTTGCAGCAGGGCAGATCAGAAAGTGCCTGTGGCCGCGCTCACATTTCCTCGCGCACTCCTCTCCGGACCTAGAGTCGCACGAGACTGGCAACACGCTCAGACACCGGTGTGCTGGCCGCGCGTGACCCGAGGAGCCCACTTTTGACGAACACACTCGGGCTCCGCTGGCAGGAAAGCTGGAACTAAACTACATTCATTGACTTGAGAGCGATGCACTGGCAGCATGGCCAAGTGGTTCAAGGAGCACCTAGGATTCAAAACTACCAAAGCACCCCCTCCGGCGCCTCCGAAACCGGACTACAGACACTGTCACACCGGTGTGCCCGGTGCGCCTGGCTACCAACAAACAATCTGCGGGGCCACCTTCCCAAGCCCCGCGCAACCGGACATCCTCGCTGCGTACAAACTACAAAAGGAGCTGGACTTCGAGGACCCGTACACTTCAGGTGGAAATATTTCATTCGGCTCGAGCTTGAACAGCGTGGGGTCGCCGGATATCAAGTATGTGTCACCAAAACACCGACTTATCAAGGTGGAAACTATCGAAAAGCCCAGCCCAGCTCCAGGCGGAGGTGTCACAGTCACCCAAGCTGTTGCTCTGGGGAGTGTTAAATCTCCCACTTCACCTCCCTCGGACCACGACAACAAGGAGAAGGTGGGTGAAATAAGTCCAAACATTATAATGTCTGTGGACAAGTTTGGAGCAACAACTAAACTTTTAAATATTTTTGTAATCTTTCAATTACAACCCCAAATTAACAATTCTTAGTAAACTCCCATATTTAAGTATAGCTTTCTCTCTGAAATCACAAAATATTATTTTTTCCCCCCTACGTATGTTTGAAACATGGCCTGTTAATGGAGAAATTGACCTACTCCTGTAAGAAATGCATCGTTACAACCGGCAGAACTTGTTATCACAACGGCTGTCCACACGAGTTGCGACATCCACCTCTTGTCTAATAACTAACCTGCACTACAGGGAGTGCTGTGGAGGGAGCAGTCTGTCATGTGTTGACACCTATATATACAGTCTATGGTTGACACACAGCTCAATGTATTAGAGCAGGCTTGCATTAATAATAATAATTTAATAATAATTTTTATAGCGCCTTTCAAGAGACCCAAGGACGCCTAATACCGACAATTATGATCTGTTGTTACTCTGTGAAAGTCAACTTGCTGTAAAGTGCATGCAAACTCTGCTCTGCTGGGTGAGCAGCTTATTCTCATGCTACAATGTAATCTAGACTGCTTATTCAATTTGAATATATATATATTCAATGTTATTGAACTAAAGATCAATTTTGTTAATGTTATTTTTGCACTGATGCCCATTGCCATGCATGGAAATTATTAGTAGATAGATGGTTCTGATTTGAGACTCTCTTGACACATTTATCTGCATTTACAGTACAAGCCTTACACTTTTTTTTTTACCTTGAAGTTGTGGCTATCGCAAGGAGCTGTTTGCACTCTCATCAGCACAACATGAATGTGGAGAACACTATCATGTCAGGCCTCTCAGGAATTCACACTCACTGGGTTCATTTGGAGAAACCTGAGATTTGTTGGTGAGGACATACCTTATGATGAGTGTGATCCCACGGATGAATGTTTCAGTGTCTGCGTAGTTCTGTACAGAGGAGGAAGCATGGCTCTGTGAAAATACCCACTGTACACACCACTGTTTCCTCCTCAGATCACATCTAAATACCTGACATTTTTGCGGTCATCTTGATTGCACCTTCACGTTACTTCTTCCTACTCTTGTGTTTGCTTTCGCACCTGTCTTTGGACGTGTGGCGAGTTCACAGTTGGTTTTGGTTTGGCACTTTTATTTATATTGCACAGTGTCTTCAACCTGTCACAAGAGTGTTGTGTACAGGAAGACTGCACTTTTCTCACCCCAGCTTTGATCACAAAAACGAAACTCTTACAAACACCTTTATTTCCCACACGCCCTCAACACAGACACTGGGAACATAGAGGCTCTTCTATTCCAATGTTTATTTTCCAAAACCATGTTTTCAGCAGCCCTCATGCACTTAGTATGCAGGTTTAATACTCATACAGCTATGTGTTATCAGTAAAACAAGCAGAAAAGCAGCATTTTCACCCAGCCACTGCAGCTGTTCAAGCTGATTAAACAGATTATAGTTGTCTCATGTTAATTGAAGCTTATTTGCTTTCCCCCTGTCAGGAATACAGTTGCCAATGCCCATCTTATTTTCCTCTCCGTGTGCACATATGGCTTAAACAGACAGGCAGATGATTGTTCAGTATGGTTTAAATACCTCACACCTACCAGTATAAATGATGTTATGGACGATCTCAATCAGTACTGGCAGCTGCTGGGCTTAAGCAATATGTCGAGAGAGGGGGTTAAGGGTTGTCTTGCTAAGATGCTGAAGGGTTGAAGTGAAAATATTAAATATTGGCAGGTTTTGTAATACATGGTGTACGGTACCTCCTCTTCCACGGCGGTGGAAAAAATTAAACTGGGCATATCTGGAAGTGTTTTACCACCTTAGAGTGCATTTACATCTATATCTGAGGAATACAGAAAGCTTCATAAGTAATGAATCGTCTGCAGAAAAAGCCTGGTCACTAAGCTAGTAGCTTTAAAGAGTTTTGTGAGGCTCTGTGTTTACACTTTTTTGAGGATTACAGTTTGTCCTATTATAAAGACACTTGTTTCAATGGTAGCGCTGTTTGCAGTTGGTTTTCACACACTCTCCCTTCAGGCTATATTTTAAAGAGTATTGAACAGACAATGTGTTCTGACGTCTGGACAATGATGAAACAATTAATGAGTGGATTACTGATTTATACATAGACACTTTTTTATTATTATTATTTTTTTGAATGTATTTATTTATTGTTTTTTCAGTTGAATTATACTTAAAGTTCAGGGTAATCAACTGTTAAAAATATACTGTTCAAATTTATTTTTCAATAAATGGATGTTTTCAAAGTAAATGGATAATCGTTTTTAATAATCGTGATATCAATTATTGACCCAAATAATCGAGATTATGATTTTTGCCATAATCGAGCAGCCCTACCTCACGCCATCAGTGGATAGTGAATGGATTCAGTTGCATTAGAGAACCTGTCTTTTTAACTGCACTGACTGTTGGAGGCTGAGCAAATAAGTGTCTTAACAGCACTGCTTGGTTACATTGATGTTTTAATTACTTGACTCATGAATGCTAATTATATCACTGCTTACCTAATGCCTGAAATGCCAATAGTGGCATCAAGTGCATTTTCCTCAGTCTATTTCTATTAACCAGGCTTCTATGTAGGGGGAAAAAGCAAGATGAGAAACATGCAATGATATACTGCAAAATAAATAATATATATGCTATATTTTCACAGACATTTCATCGCCCAGTTTTCCTTTTCTGTGTTCTTTTTTAGTGCAAATCATTATCTAAGAAGTGTCAATTTATTCAGCGGATTTCAGTGTTGGTTTGAAGTTGCACTCTTTGTGCGGAGCTGTCTTTGATCCAACTTGTGGTTTTGAGTTTTCAAGGTATTGTGATGTGTTTTGTTTTTAATGGTGTTAAGCCCTTCATGGTAGAACGAGTTGAAGGAGATGATCAATTATCATCCCGCCTTGGAGCTAATTAAAGGCCTCATCTCCCAGCTCATCGCTCTACTCAGCACTAACCTAACTTCTCTCAAGGACACGCTAAAGTGGTAATGGTCTCCACTCGGAAGTGTGTAAACAAAAGTAGTAGTGCGGAACTGACAGGCTGCGGCATCATTATGAAGTGCAGTCCGCCAGCATCAGTACTTGTCTTGCCACCTGGGAAACATCCTCTTCCAATCTAACTTCGGCTCCTTTTATGGCTCGGGGTCTTTTCAATGCAGGGATCCCATAAGAGCCAGCATGCATATCTATCTATACCGTTTTGGATCAGATGCCAAGACAGTTGTTGTGAGCCAACAGGGGCATCTCGATGGACAGATTTCCTCTGTGCTTATGCTGCTCAATCCTTTCCACCACACACCTTATTTATTACAAGACCTGGCTCGGCTTTTTAAGAGAGTAGGCTGGAGGTTGAAAAGGTTGAGTGGTGCAGTGACGAGTCCTAAAACCCGGAAGTGAGTTAGCATTTTACCACTAATGGTTCCCTCGTCTCAGAGTCAATAGGATTTCTCCATAGGACTTTGGAAAATAGCTCCAAATAAGCTCTGTGGTTGACACAAATTTAAGAGACGGATCACGTTTTGTTCTACGACATTAAATACATCAGCAGTGAGATTTTTTTTTACGTGTCTGAAAAACGATGGTTGTTACCAAGTGGCTGAATAGGACTACAGAAGTTGTCGAGGCCGTTGTACGTCATTACACCGAACACGTAAACACTCCCGCTAAGTTTTTTTTTCTCCGTGTTCTGCTTGAAAGCAACTACCTGCCTCCTGCAAACTGTTAAAACAAACGCTTCAACTTGTACAATTTTTAATCTGTAGTGTTGAAGCAGCGACCCTGCTGTAGTTCGTTTATAGCATAACGTTAGCATTTAGCTTCTGGCGATTAGATTTATGATTATAAAATTATAAAAGTAGGAGACATGTGGAGATTATCCGGCTGAACAAAACGTGCATTTATCAAACAGGTTCGTTTTCCACCTTATTTCGAGCTATTTTCCAAAATCCTATGGAGAAATCCCATTGCTTTTTTGTCGAGGGAACCCATGCACAGTTAATTTCCGGGTAAATACGTCATCCCTGCACCACTCGATTGGCCTCACCTCGAAGATTTAACAGAGTTTAGTAAAAATCAGTTGGAAAGTTAGGCCATAATATAGAAAGTTAAAAGTTATTTTTGACTTCTGTTTCTGGTAGAATCAGCTGCTTGAACCTTTTGGCCTTAAGTAATAGTTTAAGGGTTCAGAAGATATGCTTATAAGCTTTTTTGCCAAGAGTTAGTTTGTGTGATTGATTGATACCACTCTCATATCTGTTTATGAACACCAGCAATCACTTTGTATGGCTAAACTTTATCTTAGCTTTCAAATGTACGCACCATATCTTGTTTGTTTTATCCGTACAAAAAACAAAGTTTAAAAAATAACATTTGTGGTTCTAGAAAGGTTTATGTGTTTTTCATTTAATCAATTAAAAAAACATGAATGGTTTCAGTCTTGTGTAGTTGCCGGGCTTGGGGTTGTGATCGGATGTTTTCATAGTAAATAACACCCTTCCCTACTGGCTTAGTCTGGCTTTATTTGTTTGTGGAAACTGAAAAGGGTGTCAGCTTCCTTCCATTCATCTTTAGCATATGTTTAAATCCATTTGGATGTGTAATGATCACACTTTAGTTAAGATGCAGCATTTGAAAAATCTGAATGACGTCCTCACCTGACACTACGCCCAAGCTACTATCTTCTGGCGTGGGTAGAGCGGACGTGTTGGATCGGCCCGCAGATTACATTGCCTGTAGAGCACAGTTTCATTTCCCCAAAACCTGAATATCTTCCCCTGGCCTTTCACCCTAGCACTCCAGACATCTGTGGGATTTCATAAATGCATCCCAGCGGCCTTTTATGCTTTCATCTCTGCCAGTGATAGGAGAAATGTCGAGCACAAACGTCAATATCACCTAGGTCTGCGAGAGTGGTTTTCTTCAGGGAGCCAGAA